GTGTGTGTGTGTGTGTGTGTGTGTGTGTGTGTGTGTGTGTGTGTGTGTGTGAGGTTCACATCGTCTTGTGTGGGGTTCACATCGTCTTGAGCGGGGTTTACTGTTAAGTTGCTTCTCCACATCCCTGCAGCATCGCAAGGAGAAGACAGAAGATGTACCGAAATCGACTCCAGTGTTCTCTTTTGTACTCACCAACAGATGTGAGAAATTTGATATGAGAAAAAGCATATCAAATACAGAGGTCATGAAAGTCAACTGAAATTTTAGTCATTTATGTGAATAGCAAATGACCGAAACAAGCCAAGGACTTTAAATATCAACGGGTCCATAGGTAGAGCAGCAGACACCCTTTCTACCTCATCCAAGCATCTCTATGGACACAAAGCGACATCCTGTCATTTCAAAGCCATACCAACACAATGCTACTAACGCCAGACCTGGACATAAAAACAAAAATTACTGCATGCAAAATGAAGTCTCCACAAAATCCTAAACATAACAAGAAGAGACAGGCAGATAGATGGAATTAATGTAAGAGCAGATGTTGGCACGGATTGATTCCTGTATGACAATGAAAGACAAATAGAATAGTTTGGCCACCTGTTATGAATGTCACTTAGTCAGCCAGCCTCGAGAACAATATGACAACAAGTGCTTAGGCAACAAAGGAAGAGGTAGACTACACAAAAGATAGATTTAGGGAGTTAAGGGAACCCTGAGAAACTATAACGCAATCGAAAGAGCTGCAGATTTTACCCTACTATAGAAACGTGCATCTCCCTTCGACGCTCAACGGCAACAGAGAATGTAAAAGTAAAAGTTAAAGTTAAATGAAGACTCCAGTTTAGCCACATATAAATGTTCGCGGGGTACGCGTCTCTTTAATGTAGCAAACGAGGGCACTGTCGATATGAAGGTGGACAAGCGCTGAGACAGCCAGGCACACTATTCATAAAGAGACGCTTATTCAAGCCAGTTTCACGTTGACATCTAATAGGCCTATACGAGAACACTTTCCAGCCTGACTACCACATCAGATCAAACAGATTCAATTTGTCGCGAGAACGTCCACTCTACTTTAAGACAGCAGTGTCAGCACACTGCACGGTCCGTTGACCTGGGACTGGCGGGCTACACCTCTCTTCCGTCATTTCACGGCGCAGGCAGGCACACAGACACACAGACAGACGGACACCCCACACATAAACACACTCATACACAAACACAAACACACCGGGCCCTGACTAGGGAAGACACAATCAGTTTCCACTGGCCACAGAACTGTCACTTCTCATTATAGCCTGCAAGACAGGTGAGCACGGGATTACTTGGTGTTAGTCTCTGTTGATAATGATGGTGATGATGATGATAGTGTGTGCGCGCGCGCGCACACACACACACACACACACGC